ACTGTGTTTATCCTAGAAAACCAAACAATTATTTATTTCAAAAAACAGCTACAAATACGATGCAGAAGAGTATAAAATAAGTACTGTCTTTTAAAGAAGACTTTCAAGCCACATAACTGGTATGTGTCTTCACTACCAAACAACATCAAAGAACTTCGCTGTACATAAATCTATAATATAAAACTTCTAAAATGGGTACCTGACAGAAAAGTCCTCCTCTGGATCAAATGATATTTCTTCATCACTGGAGGGCTGCTCCGATAATTCTTTTAAAGGTGTGGATGCTTTCAATGTGAGGCCACTATCCGCAAGTGAGTAAGGATTGCTCATAATTGTATTGCAAGATGAATTGATTCTCTGAAGATTGCATCCTTGGACGTTTTTTTCTAGGTCAGGAACACCGCTACTTTCAAGCTGAGTTATACCAGTAACATCCACATCGCTAAAAGACGACAAACATGTTGACATGTACTTGAAAATTGAAAAACTTCCTGTGTCAATGTTGAGTATGGGAAACATGAACTTTGGGAGATGACAATGGGATGAAAATCTGTTACTAGGTATTTCCAGTTGCTTAGTTTCCTGCAAATTCTTTAATCTGAGTGTAATAGTTCTGAATGGTTATAAAGACAATGCAAACAACATATTTTGGTTGTTATAGTGTCTATACAACAACAGTCACAGAAAAAATGAATAAATTTCTTTGAGTTATGAAAGAGAACTCTACAAAACATAACTTTTAATCACCTGGTTGAAGAGGCTGTATCAGCTGGATTAATATGACGTCGAGTAGATGGATTAATTGGTGTTGAAAAGAGAACAGGAACACCTGCAACATAAATTCATTGAATGTAACAATAACATGGGGAAATACATAACACTATCCTACTGAAGAAGGCTGTGCTGACAACAAGAAACTAATTCAAGCAGGAATACAAGTAGAGTACCAATATAAAACATGTATCAATATCAATATCAATATAAAATGTATTATGTAGTACATGGAAATTGACATGTTCACTCAGTTACATCTACTATCAAACTAAACCAGTGAATCTGTTACCAACGGCAGTGAAAACTTAATGAATAAATCGTACCAATGCAGCAATCAACTTGATTATAGAAATAGAAGTGGATCATACTCGCACAAACACAAGCTACATAAATTGTGATGTGTAACACTGGAAACTTACCAGACTCCACTTCTGCTTGCACAGGAGAACATGGAGAATTTAGTCTGGAGACAGTCCCTAACCTAATGAAAAACCAAAGCAAATAACTAAACACTCCCTGCAAAAACTTCAAAATAGACAACAAATATGAAATTCACAAATGTCATGACATTATAAGAGTGAGTTGAAGCTAACATCGTACCTTCTATCATAGTTTTTTTTTTTTTGCGTTATTAATATTACTATTATTTTTATTATTATTATTATTATTATTATTACAACATCAACTACAATAGGACAATGAAAGGAGATACAAAAGATAATA